AAAAATTTCAATATGACAAATTATCGACAAACTTCATTTTTTACTTACTTCGGTGAAAATGTGAAATTTGAGCTATGTTCATTTATCGACCAATTGCACAGAAACAAGTATTAGAGTACGCTTACTCGAACTTGAGGTGTAAGTAGAGACTTTACCCCTCAAAATGAGTTACGCACTCTACTTTACTCTATTTTTGGTGTTAGTTTCATCGAAGTGAACGCATCGCAGTGAAAAAAGATATACATGTGTAGCCGCATGCGTTCAACGAATTGTATTTCGTTGCGTGCATATGAGACTGTATATACGCTAACGAATATCATTGCTATGTGTATCGTCGCATGCGTTTGATGAAAAAAAAATACATATTAACACATCATATAAAAATAAATAAACGAATAAGGATAAATGTCGAATAAAAAACATGGATTTCAAGTGTTTTATTTGCAAAGAAAAATTTATCGACATAAAATCAATTTTTAGTCATATGAAAACTAGCCATTCTTTGAAAGATGGAACGTGCAAACTTTATTGTATAGCCAATAACGATTGCAAAAGATCTTACCAAAGTTTCAAGTCATTGCGAGATCACGTAAAACAGTGTAAAAAAATGATCAGCAATGTGAGATGAATGAGGAATTGAATATGAATGAAAATGTAAATAAATGTGAAGATCAATGTGTTTTGGTTTCGGACAAAATCCACGATGACCAACAAATCCACGGTGAATTTACTTCATTCGAATTTATTCCTCAAAAGAAACAAGAACAAGAGGAAACTGAAAAAACGCCCAATGTATCTAGACAGTTAGAACATTTTTTCTCTTCGTTTCATATAAAAATTGACGAAATGAACTTGATTGACCGAGATTCAGATCGTGTTTTCAAAATTTGTATTGATCTTGTCCACAACGTCAATAAGTTAAATGAACATCTCATTATTGAAAACACAGGGTTAGGTCCAACTGAGGTATGTATATTTAAGCTTATATTAAAAAAAACGATTCAATGCACGTATGATATTGTTGTTTTTTTCTTTAGGCGATAAAAGCATCAACAGAATATGTCTGCTCAAAACTGTCCCAATCGACTACAAAATATAAAAGAAACAAGCTTCATAAACGTGATGAATTTTACGTCGAACCAGAATTGAAAGGCATTGGAACTCGATTCGAGATACAAAAACCAAATGCCCTACAACCTGCATTACCTGTCCGTTTGCAATGCACTTTTCCATACATTTCAATTTTGCAATCGTTGAAGTGTGCCTTCAAGAACAAATCGTTTTTAGAAACATATCTTGAATACAATAAGCATGGAAATGGACATACCTGTAAAGAAGGCGATTACATTGACTTTTGCTGTGGAAGTGTGTACAAAAGCAGATCAATTTTTCAAAAATTCCCAAATAGTCTCCAAATTCAAATTTTCTTGGATGACTTTGAACCATGTAACCCGTTGGGATCCAAAGCAACACTACACAAAATATGCGGTGTGTATTTTTCAGTTCGAAATATGCCACAAAATTCAAAATTAAGTAGCATTTATCTAATTGCATTGTGCAACAGTGATGATTTAAAAACCAAGTCTACAGATTACAATAATTTATTGCGATTAATTGTCGAAGATCTGAAAGTGCTCGAGGTTGATGGTATCAACGTGAGCAGTGATCTGAATTTAAAAGGTACTCTTGGAGTTTTTTCGGCTGACAACCTCGGAGCAAACGGAGCGTTTGGATTCGTTGAAAGTTTTGGAAGTGCCAATATACATTTCTGTAAAATTTGTGAATTACCAAAATATCGCTGTCAAACTGCCTGTAAAGAGGATATTTCGGCAATGAGAACAATAAAAAACTATGAGGTACACTTGGAAACAATTTCCAATTCAACAAAAGTTAATTTGGAACAAACAAAAGGCATTAAACGCGATTGTGACTTGAACAAATTGAAATATTTTCATACTATGGAAAATTATTGTATAGATCAAATGCATGACGTAGCGGAGGGCATCGTACCATTTGTCCTTCACCAAGTGTTCCAATATATAATCGAAAAAAAAATTTGTACCGAAGTTTCATTAACTCATAAAATTCAATTTTATGATTATGGCATTATAGAATCCAAAAATGTACCATCAATGATCATGTTATCAAAGCCAAACTTGAATCAAAACGCAGCCCAGTCAATGTGTCTCTTTAAAAACATTCCATACATTTTATCCGGATTAAAAGAAAAATTGAATGAGATTTGGATTTGTGTCACATCGCTTCAGAAAATTATTCAAACAATTGAATCTGATAAAATTCATGAAAGTGATTTAATACTGTTGGAATCGAATATTCACGACCACTTGGAAAGTCTTCAGAATATCTTCGGGGTGAAACTCATTCCCAAGCATCATAATCTTGTACACTATCCCAGAGTGATTCGAGCAATGGGTTCAGTAAAAAATATGAGCACAATTCGCTTCGAAGCAAAACATCAAGTGTTCAAAAGTATATCGAGACAAAATAAAAATTTCAAAAAATTGACGTATACGCTAGCAATGAAACACCAAAAATTGATTGCAAAAAAAATGAAAACATTCTCAAACATTCTAGAAGTAAGCAGTAGTAAAGGAAAAGTTATTTCCAGTGATCAGTTACCGATTAATATTATGAAGGATTCTGCATTCGAGATAAAACGACTTACAATAGGTGATCGAGTTTACCGAAATGGTCTATTCATATTACATGAAAAATCTTTATTTGAGATAAAAAAAATATTCAATGAAAACTCCAAATTCATTTTATGGGTAGAAAAATATTGTTTTGGTGATATCGATAAAGTAGTATGTAAACAGGTGTTGCTCGTTGACGTTTATACGTTTATATAAGTTTTCGATAGATGGCGACACAAATAAGGTTTTGATTTTAAATATTTATTCTCTCCATTGAAATCGATGAAAGAAAACGTAATAGTTACATGCTTTGTTGACAAGGATAATTTTAGTTCAAAACTATTTCAAAATTAAGGAATTCAACAAAACAAAAAACAGTCCTTTTCAGGACTACTAATTTATTTTTTATAAAGAATTATTTAAAACCAACCTCTCGAATACCATTGGAATTTAAAAAAAAAA